CCCGGGGCGGCGGCGGCGGACAAGCGACCGTTGACCGCGAGCGAAACGGGACGAACACGTGGACGGGCCCGTATCACAAACGGAGGGGGTACGGGCCCGTATCACAACAGTCATGTTGCATATCAGTCGATGCGTCTCAACAAGACCAACACAATGAGACCATCCCCAGCGTTCTATCTCTTTCCAATCGCGAGTTATTGGCAAAAAACTGTTTGTAGGCTGTAGCCTCAAATGACCTCGGATGACCTTTCTAGAGGCTATCAGCAAAAATGACACCCTGGTCATCACGAGTGGACTAAATCATTGTGATTCTGAAATATTTGGACTGTTCCTATGCGTACACACGGATCTAGAGGCATTTTCATTTTTCTCCATTGACTTGTAATGGAAATGTCACGCCACTGACCTGACCTTAGGTCACGGATATAAAAATACGAGATATACAAATTGTAGGCGCCCATATTAGCATGCAATCCACCAAGTTTGAGACCTTTCTGACAAACACTGCAGGCTGGACATGATTGCAAACATTTTTTTAGGCTTGGTCAGTTAACCCGCGCGGGGCTGGGGGGGGGGGGTAAATTTTACCCCCCCCCCTCGCGAATTTTTGCGATATCTCAAAAACGGCGGCGCGCAGCGCCGCCAAACTTTCAGTACCTTTTCTTACATCAATTTGACACGTTCCCTGAAAATTTGAGCGAAATCCGTCGGAAAATTTTTGAGAAATTGACGTTTTAGTGACGTCATGTTCGCCATTTTCGCCTCAAAAACGGCAAAAGTTCAAACGCCGCTAACATCTTCATTTTTAAAGGAATCAAGACGTAACAAAAAGGTTATCCGTAATTTTACTTTGTCTATCAAATGGCTATCTCGGTTTTTTGAAAATTTTGGATTTTAGCCTAATTTTTTTCAAAAAACTGACTTTTTTGGGAAAATCATTATAAAATCCAAAATTTTGAGTCTATCGAAAAAAAACGGAATATATGTCAGAGAAGTGGTCTATGTGCACCTACATACCAAATTTTAGAAGAATCGGGTCAAAAATGTGGGAGTTATTCAAAATTTTCTGACGTCACGACACACAATTTTTTTTGAAAAATGACTTTTTTGGAAGTTCTAGACCTCGTACGGAAACAAAAATAGCACCATTCGATTCGCCGTGAAAAACTGCATCAGATAGACACCTTTTTAGGCCTTAACAACCAACTTCAAAATTTGACCTCACTTGACCTGACCTTGACCTGACCTCGACCTGAAATTCATCCAGAGGTGGTCCATATCACTTATTGAGTGTGCCTATTGAATTCTATGAGTAAAATGACCCATAAAACATGTGTCGCACATGCCCTTTTCTATATTTTGTTTTTTGGTGACCTGACCTGACCTGACCTGACCTTGACCTTGACCTCTGAATGATATTGTATGCAATGAATATTGTCTTGGTAGCCTAAGAACACGTTTTGGGCGATCAGTCTCAGTCCATGACTCCATTCTTCGGCAACTACGGTGCAAGGCCGATACTGTAGAAACTTGCAATTTGTACCCTTGACCTGACCTTGACCTTGACCTCAAACTTTAAATTAAGTACATGTTTTTAGTAGTTCGTGATGAGAGCTTTCGATTGGCGTTTGAATTTTCCAAATCGGACCATTAGTTCGGGAGATAACAGGGGGGTAAAATTTACCCCCCCCCCCAGCCCCGCGCGTTCGGCTGGAGACCCCAGCCCCGCGCGGGTTAACTTGACCTTGTGACCTGACCTGACATGACCTGGGGTCAAAAATTTCACACATTGTCCAAAATTGATGTACCAAAAGCTACCCCAAGCGGCGCGGCGCTACGCGCCGCGGTTTTTTATTTACACGCAAAGAACGCGACAGGGTGGTAAGTGGTAACATATGCCCCCCCCCCCCCACTGGGGCGAAGGTTAAAATAGACGTATCGCTGTCCGGGTATTCTGTACCTTATGTTACGAGCATACTTGACGATGTAACTATGAACTGTGGCGACGCTCCACCCCTCAGATTCCTCAGGCTGAGGCTGCGGCATTGCCCTGGTGACTCCCCGAGTCGCCGCAGCCATTCTCCGACATCTGGAACTGCACCATGATGATGATGTAGGTGAGCACGGTGGACGTGGTGCCCAGGATCGCCGACAGCCGCAGCCGGAAGAAGCCCAGGTCGCCGAACGTCTCCAGGTCACGCCGCGCGGCAGCTAGTAGAGCAGCTAGCTGACGATCTGCGGGTGCGTCCTGCGGCTCCACGGTCAGCAGGGCGGCGCGGGTCCCCTCGGAGGCATCCAGCACTCTCTGACAAGACCAGCTCGGGAGCAGAGTGAAGACCAGAGCCGGTAGAAGGAAGAGGTTCGCGCCCCAGATGGAGATGTTCTGGTCCTGCTGGGTGGCTCCGATCAGCTGGAAGATGGTCATCACTTGGGCCAGCGTGCCGTAGAAGATGATGGAGATCAGCTCAGGTCGGAGCTGCTGGGTGACCCGGGAGAATCCGCGGCTCAGCCGGGCCTGCAGCAGCCTCAGGCGCCTCAGGGCACTCCAGCTCACAGGGCCATCATCTTCGGCCAAGGTTTTGAGCTCAGAGTTGACAGTCTCTATGCCACATACAAAGAGACTGCAAAATAACGCGAATTTAATCGCGATCATCACTAAAGAGGCAAACACCACGCTGCTAATTGTAATAGGAAGAATTGTGGCAATAGAAGCGTGTTCTTCGATAGGAAGGAATTTTGAATATTCAGAATCAATCATGATGTAGCTGACCAGGCCAATAGCTAATATCAAGACAACGGAAATTAGCAGGCAAAGCATGCGGCGGCCGTTCTTAATGCGCTGTTCCGCGAAAGAAGGACAGATGCTGATGTCTTGCAATATTTCCAGGGACTCTTCCAGCAAAACCCCCGTGCGGCGACGTCCACAGAAAAACGTTACCATCATTGTAAACCACATCAGAAAGAACGTCACACCGAAGAAGCTCGACTTTAAGTGCGTTGAAAATTTTGCTGCCGTTTTTCAGCATGTCAAGACCCAGCATGAGTGTGGTCCAGCCTCCTAAAAGACAAGCGACAGTGGCCATCCCGAGTACAAGCATTGCATAAAGAAATTGGCAACAACCGGCGCCACTGCACTGCGCTGTCAACTTTAGCAGAGCGATCAGTATTGACAAGGGCGCGGAGATTACTGACGACTTGACTGTGGCATCTTGTAGGCTATCAGCTTTATGTTCTGCTCCGATCTTGGGCCGTCTCACATGGATTGAAATCATGGCGCTGCTTGAAATGATTGCACTTGTTGAGTTTCTCTCAGACTATTCACTGCTAAGCCCTCGTCCTAGCATTTTTCTTCAGTCTTCTTAGTCCGAGAATGAATTGATGGTCTTAGCGTGTCCCGTCACCTGCGTACGCTTTCTCAGGATGAAATTTCAATCTAAGAATATGGATTGCATTACATGGACTTGGACGCTAAGCCACACCTGGGTTCCTGGGTAGGTAGATTTGGTCGATCCAGTGGATACAGTAGGTTCTTATTCCTAAGCTGAGCGGTCCGTCAAGGGCAGGTCACTGTGCTCTGCCGGGCGGTCGGTCCTTAGCTGGTCGGTCCGGGACTCTGAAGCTACTCCAAACCAGGTGATCGGCTTCCAAACTGGCCGTCGCAGACCATCGTCGTCTGTCGTCTGTAGCCCGGACAGAGCGGCGGCGAAGATTGGCGAATGCCGACCAGCCCCGTTACCGTGGGCGGCGATCGCTGTATCGAACTGGTGCGACCATTCACACCACGGGGGAACCATCATCAAGGCATGGTGTTTGATCAGGCACAGTGCCCGAGGAAAGGTCAATTAATCGCCTAAAATAAATATCGTCGTAGCTGTCGCAAGTGTCAAGTTTATTATTATCCTGAAAAGCACGAGGCGTAGCGGTCTGAAAGCACCATGCTGTTTGAAGTGCGATCCAATGCGCAAAAATAATCCTTATGACAACAGTAGCATCGTGTTGCGTTCTAGCCAGCCCTATGGCCGCTTTGTTTGGCAGCTATAATGCCAAACATTAGTAAATTGAAGCAAGTCCTCACTGCCTGAGCTAACAAAGTCCTGGTCCAAAAGCATGTGATGAATTGGCGGCGTCCACTTCTGATGTGCTCCGTTGACCGCGCATTGGGGCGTTTTGTAATGCTGACAGGCACGAGGTATCGACCAACTTTAGCCAATAGCAAGGATGTTTTGGCGTTGACACGGTTAACACTTATATCGTTTCGTCTTTTGCACACCATCACCTAGAGATATAATGGACAACAGCCATTCGAAAGAAAAAATGGAGCATTGTTATGTCTAATTTCTGTTGTAAGGGTAACGCGGAATAGCTCAGGGTCTATATAATCGCACCTGCGCCGTTACCCGTTATACGTCAAGGCGGGGAGGGGGGGGGTGCCCCTCGATCTGGCTCATCCTTTGGGCCGTATAGCTCTACCAACAAGCGGTAAGCGACGTTCAGAACATGCTCAAAATAACTTGGAATGTGCTTCGACAATTTTAAATTATAATAAAGGGCGCTAAGCTATTGCGGAACAGGATTTGAAATATCTATAGCGCGAGTAAAACTCCTTATTCGACTCGCGCCACGGTGTTGGTGGCGCAGTCGTTCTACGCTGGGGTGGAGGGAGAATGGGGAGGGGAAAGTTAAAATTACTCGGTTCCTGAGTCATATGACGAAAAGAAACAAGTCGCGTTCGATTATTTCTAGGTACGCCCTAACGTCTCTTGAAGTACACCTTTTTACGGCCAAATATGGAAGAAGTGCGCACAGTTCAGTAAACATGCAACCGATTTCGACAGATCGCCATAGACAGAGAATGCTGTGCTGTCCAAATCACCTGCACTATAACTGATATGTGTACACTGCCACCTAAATTGGGCGTAAAAAGGTGTAATAGAAACAGTACAGACTTCCATATTTTTCTACAAACCCATTGCTCCGGCTTTCGACAGCCAAACACATCGTCAGTCCACTGTTCATTTATTATCGATATACCTGCTTACCACACACATAACCAAACTAGAACCACAAGCGTCCACCGCGCCCAGTACTCAGTACCTCCGCGGTACCGCGCGGCACTCTCCAGAGGCACCCCAGACGCACATCCGTTCCTCGCAGACACACACGCAGACACACAGTAAAACAGACACATTGATTGGGGTGGTGGTGACTCGCGTTCAGTTGTTGCAACAGGACTCGGCTGGATATTAGACCGAGTTGGGAGCCAATGGATAGCTCATCTGTGGATCGCTCACTGTCGGTTAGCTCACCAGTGGCTAGCTCACTAGTGGGCAGCCTACGATCGGCTAGCTCTCGAGTGGCTAGGCCATCTGTAGCTAGCTCACCTGAGGCTAGCCGACATTGGGTTAGTGAATAGCCACCCCGTGGTCATGACCACACGCCACCACAATACTTGAAAATATAATCGCTGGGTCATCGTTTGGATTGGAACCACCAAAGTTCGCTGGCCCAAACCACCGCGGGATGTTGAGTTGACGGTAGAGTTTGGAGCGAGCAGCTCATTTTAGCTCATTGCAGCTCACTTTACACTGTAGCTCACTGTATACTGAAGCTCACTGTTTCGCGTAATGCTGACTGCCCAAGTGTCCACTCTACCTTATTGGCTATGCATTTCACTGACCACAATGACGTTGTCTTTCGCCAATTTGACACACTACGCAACATCTTCCTCCTGAACATGTATCCCTTTGGTTAAAGCTCGCACCACGCATTGATTTACATTGCCGGCATCGTCCATTCCACGTCTTTGGCTCTTCTCACTCGCATTACAAACTACAATGAAAAATAGCAGACTCCTTTCCTGAAGCTGGTAAGCGAACAAAAATAAAAGACTTCTATTCCCGCACATGACAACGACGCTTATCGTAAAAACCGAAGATAACGGAACAGAATGGCTTATTACGCTAATGTATCTGTGTGATGGGATAAACGTTCGTTGCCAGTCGTTTAAAACCATTAAATTGTTAAATTATACTCCACTACCTAACAAGCTCGTAGTCTCTGACTTGTGGTGGATCTATCTGAAAAAAAGAGGAATCCTCACAATAAACCCAACGCAACGTTAGTTCAAATTTTCACCACACGGCGGCAGCACTTTCTGCTCTACATCTTTTACCTCCGACAACATGTCAGCTCTTTGAATCACAACCATCAACTCTTCGCTCCTGCAACGTTGCCCATCACACCCACATCAATCGACATCACACCCATATCACTGGCGACTCTTGTTCGAACCATCCGCCGCAGTGATGTCCCACATCACATGACGTGCCGATGACGTCATCATGACGGCGTTCCCTGATGTGTCTTCTGTGCTGACGTGTAGTGACGTCACAGACGGACCACCGACAGGCTGATGGCGCCCTTGGTTTTGCGCAGGAGGTCAATGACCTGGTCGGAGGTCATGTCCCGTACGGAGGTGTCGTTAACCTGGCGGCGAGGGAGCGGGTCACATGTCAGGGGGATATAATCGGACAGAGTCGGGTAGACGGCACCATTCGGAACAAGCAGTGGACATAACTCTTTGTAAGTTCTGATCAGTGAGTCGTGATATGAGTGCTAATGTCGAAAGACGAGCCGAATGGCAAATGTAGCTGCGGTGAATAACAGGCTATGGCCGTCACTTCAGCACCAGAAAACGTTTCTTTACCTTTCATCAAGAATCAATATCTAATTTCAGACTTGGCGCATCATCGCCAAGCTACTAAACCACTTTTCTAGACCAAACTCATCACTTAGGCCATTCAGTTTGTTTGTCTGTTTGTTTTGTTGGGTTAGGCCCTTTCGGTCCAATTAGACCATTTCAGAGCCGGAAGGATGTTAGGAATTAGGGGGAGACATTGGTCTGGGCAGGCACCCTAGTGAGTCACCGGGGCTGAGCCCATCCCGGAGGACAGGCCGATCAGCCCCAAGGTACTCACTGCACCGGCGGCTACGGGGTGCGCTCCCTCGTGAGCAGCGTTGCCGCTCTAAGGGAGCAGCCCGCATGAGATAAAGTTGCCTGTCCAGCCCGGAGAGGGGTTGCGGCGTGGAGGAGAAGGATTTCAGTATCCTGAGGATAGAAGCACGGAACGGTGACCATTCAGTCATCTCATGCCCACTCCATCACTTGTCTAGAAGACATGAGACACCCATGGTATAGCAAAAGTGGCATGGCATACGCGTGGCTCCAGTAAGTAAACGTGGGCCGGCAAAAGTGACTCTCACACATGACTCACACATGACTCTCACATGACTCTCACACGAGTCGCCGTACCTTGGTGAGAACGTCTCCGACCCTGAGTCGTCCGTCTCGCTCCGCCACACTATCAGGGTGGATCTGCGACACGACGTGACTGCCATCTGTTGAGTGTAGCGAGAAGCCCAGCCTCACCGACCAGCCACGCCGCAGCTGAATGTTCAGGCTCTGTGCGAGGTAGGTGGCGTTGTCAGCGGTCATACAATAACTCTCAGCCGTCCACTGACGCATGACCGGTTTATCAGAAGCAAAAACTGCTTCGGTTGTGGAAAATGTGGAGCAACATAATGAAGGACATCATTTATTACTTGATCATGAGCGACATGAAATGACTTCAGCTCCGTATTTTAAGTATGAACATTCATGATGACGTGCATTCCTAAAATTTGTCGATAGATGTGAATATGTAGACTTACAAAAAAAAAACTTTTGACTTACAGCTAAAAATGCGGCTACTACGAGACAAAACTAGCACATTGGAGATACCTTATCTCACTCGACAACAATTTAATGGACGTCACGCTTCAAATACACTCATCCCGCCCTCCCCAAATGCCCACCAACCTGACCACGAAGTCCCGTCTCGACTCCCAGCGTTGGGTCAGCGTCCAGCTCGACAGAGCTATCCAGGTTGAAGCCTTTCCATTTCCCCAGCTGTCCTCCGACCTCCGGGGAGGCCGCGCCGTCCTCCAGTCGCTCCTCAGAGCTGATACGTTTCAAGGTCCGGCCCGACTGCCGACAGGAGAGAGGGGGTTAAAATGAGGGAGAGGGAGAGAGAGTGTGTGCTAGTGAGTGAGTGAGTGAGTGAGTGAAAGAGAGAGTGAAGGAGGGAGCTGATATGTTTCAGAGTCAGCGAATAGGGATTGTGGGAAACGGTTAGGGCTTTGAGACACTACAAATAAAAACAAATAAATAATATATTCAGGCTTTCATGGCAAAAGCGTCATCTGGCAGCGTGCCAACGGCGAAAACGATATGGTAAGGCAAAGTTGTTTAGGTGAACAATTGGTGGTAGGAACGGACAAATAAGACAGCGGCATAGCGGAGAAATGCGGACCGTAGATAGAAGTAGTAGCAGTGTAGCAACGTAGAATGTAGAATGTAGAATGTAGGTAGAACGTAGGTTTCTGAAATCAGCCAGAAACGCATTTTTACTCTCTATCCGATAGACATGGGTCTACCTATCGCCGAAATATCGCTAATATCATGTCAGGCTCATATCACATTAACAATGCAATAGAAACGGCAAATAATATAAAATAATGAAAGAACATACCAAAGTTTTTCCACCGAATCACATTGTGGCGAACGGCGGCGCACAAACTCCATGCGTCTCACGCCGGCGCCACACAGCCAAAAAACGCCACGTCGATGGGCGGCGCACTGGACTTTCTGCGCCACCACTGGCTTAGGGTGGCGCCACCATCCAATGGTCAGTACGAACATCGTCGCCACCTGTGTCCACAACTAGCGCCACCTGTCGAGCAAGGCACAGGCCAACCCGCTCCGGCTCAGTCCGCTACATCCTCCCCCCGGTGTCGTAATGACACCTCGTTGAGCGGGGATAACGGAAGCCTGAACACAAAACCTCTTCGGTACGTCGCCCACTCAACAGCCACAGCCGCGCGCACACATCTACAGCGTTCATCCTGAAGACACCACGCCTCACATGGTATCGGCTTCGCTGCCGAAGTCACAGCTCCGGAGAGCAGCAGTCATCTCCGCCGCCCACTGCCACCAGCTCCGTGCGGCAGGCGAGCTCCCGCAGTACCAGCTCCGGAGAACCACCAGCTCGCCGCAGCCTCGGAGAGCACCAGCTCGCCGCAGCCGACGAGCGCACCGGCTCGCCGCAGCCTCGGAGAGCACCAGCTCGCCGCGGCCGACGATCGCACCAGCTCGCCGCAGCCTCGGAGAGCACCAGCTCGCCGCGGCCTCGGAGAGCACCAGCTCGCCGCAGCCGACGAGCGCACCAGCTCGCCGCAGCCTCGGAGAGCACCAGCTCGCCGCAGCCTCGGAGAGCACCAGCTCGCCGCAGCCGACGAGCGCACCAGCTCGCCGCGGCCGACGATCGCACCAGCTCGCCGCAGCCTCGGAGAGCACCAGCTCGCCGCAGCCTCGGAGAGCACCAGCTCGCTGCAGCCGACGAGCGCACCAGCTCGCCGCAGCCTCGGAGAGCACCAGCTCGCCGCAGCCGACGAGCGCACCAGCTCGCCGCAGCCTCGGAGAGCACCAGCTCGCCGCAGCCGACGAGCGCACCAGCTCGCCGCAGCCTCGGAGAGCACCAGCTCGCCGCCGCCGATGAGCGTCCCCGGACGCAGCTTCGGAGGACTCCAGCTCGCCTCAGCCGACGAGCACCTCCGCCGCAGCTAGCCGCCATCAGGAGGGATCTGTTAGGAAGAAACAAAAGGAAAACATAGGATACTTGGGATATACGTGATAGGACAACACTGTCGTCACCAACATAACAGCCATCCTTCAACTCAGCTCTGACACAGAACAGTTCTGAGCTTATTCAGCCTCCTCCAGGCTCCAGGAGGCACACTTTGCTGACCGGGCGCCGGTACTTGCCTCCCCCCGCTGCCATCAGTTCCACGGTACGAACTACTCCGTCCGAGCCCGGGAACACTCTTGTAACTCGGGCCAGGGGCCAGAACCCGCGTGGCGAGTCTGCCTCAATCATCAGCACGACGTCTTCAACTTTGAGATTTCTTCTCTCGCGCAACCACTTCTGCCGACTGGCTAGTGTTGGTACATATTCATTTCGCCATCTCTTCCAAAAATGTTCTGCCAGTACTTGTGACTGACGCCAACGTCGTTTGCTGCTGATCTCTCTGTCTTGAAATATGCCAGGAGACATGTTGGCGCTGGCACACCCGAGCAGAAGGTGATTTGGCGTCAGTGGCTCAACATCCGTACTGTCAGGACTGACGTGTGTCAGCGGCCGTCCATTGATCATTGACTCCACCTCGAGCAGAGCAGTGTGGAGTACTTCATCGGTCACACACTGAGATCCGATAGTTACTCTGAGCGCGCGCTTTACGCTGCCCACCAGCCTTTCCCATACGCCGCCCATGTGGCTGGCGCTGGGAGGCATGAAAGTCCACTTAATGTTCTCCTGACTCAGTTCGTCAGTAATGCGAGTTTGGTCGAGTTCATGTAGAGACTCACGGAGCTCACGTTCACCTCCGACGAGGTTCGTCCCGTTGTCGGAGTACATTGAGTCTGGCTTCCCTCTCCTTGCCATGAATCTCCTCAGTGCCATGACGAAACTGTCCGTATCTAAAGCGTTTGCTACCTCCAGGTGTACTGCGCGGGTCGAGAAGCAGGTGAACAAGACGCCGTATCTCTTCTCGGTCCTCCTGTACTTCTTCACGAACATTGGCCCGAAGTAGTCGACTCCTACCGTGCTGAAGGCTCTGGACGTGTCATACCGGCTGGCCGGCAGCTCCGCCATTCTTGGGACCTGCGCGATCGCTCTTCGTCTTTTGCACACGGTACACTCGTGTAGGATCCTCCGGACTGTCGAGCGGGCCTTCAGAATCCAATATGTCTTCCTGACTTCTGTCAACGTTCTTTCTTGTCCTGAGTGAAGAACCTTCACATGGCAGTGCGTCACTACCAGGCGAGTAACGTCGTCTCTCGATGGCAGGATCACCGGGTGGCGAGTCGAATAGGCCACGGGCGCTTTGTCGATACGCCCACCGACTCTCATCACACCCTCACCATCCAGGAAAGGTGTCACTTGTCGCAGCTTCCCTTCAGTCTTCACTTCTTTGCCAGCTTGGATCTCTGCCAGTTCTTCAGCGAAGCATCTAGCTTGACAGTCTTTCAGTACCTTCGTCTCTGCTTGCTTCAGTTCCTCTGCTGACAGAGGTCCTGCGCGTCTCCAGTCTGCTCGTTCCTGACAGGACTTTGGGGCACAGTTCTTCACAAACCTCAGTACCCATGCCACGGTTCTTCTGTACTTCGTCCACGACGAAAATCTCGAAGCGTCGGGAAGAACTGTAGTATCAGAGTCATGCTTCACAGTGAGCATGACTGATTCCGTCCTCACTTCTGGGTCGTTTTTCAGTACAGCCGTACTCGTGAGAGATGGCTGTTCCGGCCAGCAGTTCTCCTCCTGGAGCAGGAACCCAGGACCCGCGCTCCAGCGAGAATCTGATGACAGGTCAGACAACGTAGCTCCCCTGGAAACAACGTCAGCTGCGTTCAGACTCGACGGCACGTGTCGCCACTGGTCAGGGCAAGAAGACTCTCGAATTTCTGCCACCCTATTAGCGACAAATGTGTGAAAGCGGCGGCTGTCATTTTTCACATACTGCAGAACAACTGTGCTGTCGGTCCAGAATAGGACCCTATCCACCCTGACCGACAGCTCCGTCCGTAGCACGTTTGCTACTCTGACGCCCAGCACAGCCGCTTGCAACTCCAGTCTTACAATTGAGATCTGCTTGAGGGGTGCCACCCTGGTCTTCGCCATAGCCAAGGAGCAGACGCGGCGACCATCAGGCATCGTCGTAGCGACGTACGCGGCAGCACCGAAGGCATCCTGAGAAGCATCACAGAAGATGTGAAGCTCTCTCCGACAGCCGTCACTTGCCGACACGCCTCCGAAGCATCGCGGGACGGTTACCCGCTCCAGATAGTGTAACTCTGAGAGCCACTGAGACCACCTCTGCAGCTCCGTCCCCTCGAGCTCATCGTCCCAGTCGTAGTTCCCCGCCCAGAGGCGTTGAATGAGAACTTTAGCCTGGAGAGAGAACGGAGCGACTAGCCCCAGAGGGTCGAATAGTCGAGCTACTCCTTGCACTACTCCCCTCTTCGTTGACGGTACACGTGAGTCAACAGCTCTGACTCCCAAGGTGTCGTTGATGGTGTTCCAGGCGCAGCCTAGCACACTCTGAACCGCGACATCGATGTCTTGAACGCGCTCTGCGGCTTCGATCCGTTCCAAGACCTTCCGCGAGCTGCTCATCCACTTTGTCAGCCTGAACCCCCCTCTTCTGAGAAGTTCTGTCACCTCGGTTTGCATCTCAGCTGCCTCTTCTTCGGTTCTCGTAGCGTGGACGAAATCATCCATATAGAAGTTTGTAAGTGCCGCTTCTCTAGCTGCTCTCCCTGCCGGGGTGCTACTGCTGCAGTCCTTAGCGGTCTGCTGCAGGACGAAGTTTGCTGATGCGGGACTGCTTCTGGCCCCGAAGATCGCGACCTGCATGGTGTATGGTTCTGGTTGCTTCGTTGCATCCAAATCTCTCCAGAGGAACCTCAGTGCTGGTTGATCTTGCGGAGTTATCTGGACCTGGTGGTACATACACTCGATATCAGCGGTCAGAGCGACGGGTTCCTCTCTGAACCTCAGGAGGATGCCGGGCAGGTTCTTAAGAAGGTCAGGTCCCGTGAGCAGCACATCATTCAGAGAAGTGTTGCCACACTTGGCAGCCGCATCAAACACTACTCTGAGCTTCCCGGGCTTCCGGGGGTTCGTTACACCATGATGTGGCAGGTACCACTTCCTGGGGTGTGCTTCTTGATCTTCTTCTGGGGTTAGCTTGCGAGCGAATCCGCGCTCGACGTACCCCTCGACAACCTTCTTATAAGCTTCCGCTTTCTCAGATTGTCGCATCAGGGTCTTCTCCAGGGAGTACAGCCGGTTGGCCGCCATCATCTTGTTATCAGGTAGGCACACATCATCACTCATCCACAGGAGTCCCGTCTCGTAGCGATTGTCCAGTCTCCTGGTTGTGTCTTCCATGATCTTCACGGCTCTGACGTCTTGGGGAGATTTGGCATCCTGGCCTTCAAACCTGCTCCCAAACGATTCCGTGCTCCACCACTCCTGGAGTGCTGCTGACAGTTGATCGTCTGGAGCCATCTTCCTGATCAGCATCACCTGGCGCGTTCGTTCTGGCAGGAATCCCTTCACCGTGCCCGTCAGCGTCCACCCGAAGACGGTTCTGATGGCCACCGGTTGGCCCACCTTCCCTGTCCTCGCTTCCAGCTGAAGCACCGCTTCAAGGACGTTGGCGCCGAGAAGAAGATCGACCCTCTTCCCTGAGCAGTCTGGAAGGTCGAGGTCCAGCAGGTGCTTCCATTCGATCCTCTTGTCAGGGAGCTCTGGAACCGTGACGTTGATGTCCCTGACGGAGAAAACTTCAGGGACCACTATTCTTGATCCGTCGCCACCTGACGCCTTGAGCTCCAGTTTCATCTTCACGGAGTTCTGGAGGCGCCCGCATCCTTCCACGTTTTGCAGGCGGAGGGTTTGTGGCTCCCCTTGAAGATTCAGCTGTGTCATTACCTCTTCGGACACCAGTGAAGTCTGAGAACCAGGGTCTAGTAGAGCCCAGACCTGCTTTTCCTTGCCACCACTGGCAAGGACGGTGACTGGTACGACCTGCAGCAGGGTTGTGGTCGCGCCCGCCTTCACTGATGCTGCTGCTACCACGCGCTGGCCAGTGTTCCTGAGGTCGACCCTCTTGCTGCCATGGAGCACCTGATGATGTCTCATCTTGCAGCTGTCGATGCCGCACGGCCTTGCCGAGCGACAGTGCCGAACGCCATGTCCAGCCTTCAGACAGAAGAAACAGCACCTCGCACTGGCGATGAAGTGGGCTCTTTCATCAACCGATTTCTTCAAGAAGATCGGACACGTTGTCACCTCATGCTGCTCCTTGCAGCATACACAAGTCGTGCCTGATGTATCAATCTCTGTGGCCAGAGCACTTCTTTGGACGGGCCTCGGCTTCACGTCGCCCTTCCACCGCTGGGGCTGTCCTGCCGGCTTCTTGCCAGTCGCCATATTCTGCTGTGGAGACACGGCAGCGTAGTTGAGGGCCACCCTGACCTGCCTGCGAAGCCATTCGTCAAAGTGCACCAGTGTCGGTCTCTCTCCCAGGTTCAAGACATATTCTCCCCATAGACGTTTCATCTCAGATGGGAGCCTTTGAACAACTCGTCTGAGGTTCTCGAAACTATTCAGATCCCCATCGTAGCCGAGACTCCTGAATATCATGACAGCACAGTGGACTGATGCGTGCAGGCGCTCTAGTCCAACATGATCTAGTTGGGAGGGCGCAGGGCAGGAGAAGATCTCTTGCAGGTACGCGTGTACGACATCTTCCTGGCGGCCAAACCTGTCCTGCAGAGCATGCACCGCCTCTTCATATAGGGCCCCATCAAACATCATCCCACTGATGGTGAGCTTAGCAGTACCCACCACTGATGCTTGCAGGTGTATCAGTTTTTCTGTTGGGGAGAGTGAGATCTGTTCATGTACTAAAACTTTAAAAGAAGCCCACCACTTCGGCCACTCGGCCGGCTCGCCGCCGAACTTCGGCAGAGTCAAGCGCGGAAGACTATTGTGCAGCAGCGATGGAACACAGGGCGCCCCTTGGGCGACCGCATCACTGGCTGTGGGTCGAAACTGACCGGCTAGTTCAGTAGTGGGTGCCCCTCGGGCAGCTCCAACAGCCGGTGGGGGAACATGACTGTAATAGAACAAATCAGCTGTGTCGGCGCCGAGTGCCCCTTGGGCAGCTCCAACGGCCGGTGAGATGGTGTGGCTGGGACGTGACGAACCGGCTTCTTCAACAGTGGCTGCCCCTTGGACAGCTCCAACGGCCGGCGAGATGGTGTGGCTGGGACGAGACGGACCGGCTACTTCAACAGTGGCTACCCCTTGGACAGCTCCAACGGCCGGTGAGATGGTGTGGCTGGGACGAGACGGACCGGCTACTTCAACAGTGGCTGCCCCTTGGACAGCTTGTGCAGCTGGTGGGATGGCTCGGCTGAGATGAGTCGAACCAGCTTCTTCACTAGGTGCCCCTTGGGCTTCACAGACCTTGGTCTCACCACAGAAATCATTTCTTCGGTCCCACGCTAGGTCATCTTCAGCTGCTCTTGCCAACTGTGCACGCAGCTCGGCAGCTGCATGAGCATCCTTTGCTTCTTGTAGCTTCATCTTCCTCTGGATCTGTTGCTCTTCCTTCTCCGTCTCAAGCCTTCGCTGCAGCTGCTCCAGCTCTAGCTGCTTCACCTTAGCCTCTATCTCTGCCAGCCGGGATGCTGACGTCTTGTCTGATGCTGCAGAGTCTGACGCCTGCTTTGATGTAACTGATGGTGGATCGTCCTTCCTCTCCTTCAAATGCACTTCAATCCGGCTCACCGCTTCTTCATGCTGCCTGTCTGCTTCTGCTTGATACACTCTTGCCTGATCAACTTCCTCTTGAGATGTCAGCACAGAAACTAAACTATCTGTCATCTCCTCCAACTGCTCGAGTGCCTGATCAAGCTCATGGACGATTGACGCTAGCTGAGTCCGACTACCTCTGGTATCAATCAAGACGAAAGCCCTCCTCCTGACCCTGGTCAGTGCAGCTAACAATCTGCCTCGCTTCTGTTTCAATTGTGCTACAGACATGTTCTGGATTTAACAGCACAACACCAATCAGGAACTGAGTCACAATTGAATTCTCAGCAGCAGGTACAAAACTTCTCGCCACAAGAAACTGTCATTTACACGACCTACACCCTGAGAAGCCTCTTCGGGCGATCAAGACAGAATCTTCAAATGAGATACACTCATAACAACAGCATCATGTTCGGAAAGTCCTTGGGCATTCTGACAAACTTTTGCATAGACCTACAACCATATCACTAGGCTGTGGAAACTTTGAAACTGTTGTGGGAAACGGTTAGGGCTTTGAGACACTACAAATAAAAACAAATAAATAATATATTCAGGCTTTCATGGCAAAAGCGTCATCTGGCAGCGTGCCAACGGCGAAAACGATATGGTAAGGCAAAGTTGTTTAGGTGAACAATTGGTGGTAGGAACGGACAAATAAGACAGCGGCATAGCGGAGAAATGCGGACCGTAGATAGAAGTAGTAGCAGTGTAGCAACGTAGAATGTAGAATGTAGAATGTAGGTAGAACGTAGGTTTCTGAAATCAGCCAGAAACGCATTTTTACTCTCTATCCGATAGACATGGGTCTACCTATCACCGAAATATCGCTAATATCATGTCAGGCTCATATCACATTAACAATGCAATAGAAACGGCAAATAATATAAAATAATGAAAGAACATACCAAAGTTTTTCCACCGAATCACATTGTGGCGAACGGCGGCGCACAAACTCCATGCGTCTCACGCCGGCGCCACACAGCCAAAAAACGCCACGTCGATGGGCGGCGCACTGGACTTTCTGCGCCACCACTGGCTTAGGGTGGCGCCACCATCCAATGGTCAGTACGAACATCGTCGCCACCTGTGTCCACAACTAGCGCCACCTGTCGAGCAAGGCACAGGCCAACCCGCTCCGGCTCAGTCCGCTACAGGGATATAGAGGGTGTTAGATTGAAAGAATGAAGAAAAATGAGATAGGAGAAAAGGCGACACTTCTCATTTTATGAGTTGATTGACGGTGGCTTGGCGACGAAACATGAGGAAAAAAGAGGGAAATACCGAAAGATGAGTTAAAAAAAAAAAACTAAAAAGGCCGTCTGCCTAATTTTCTGTAACCACTCTATGCTGGTGCCCCGTGTCGGCCTTCATCGACAGATTCCACCGTTTTTTCGTTTTTTTTTTAGCCAGCGCTCTCTGTTCAGCCACACAAAAACACTGCTACCGAGCCTTATGTCGGCGAGTTAGCAATGTGTCCCACAAGTGTCACAGCTGTGATATCTCACTGCGATAAAAGCCACAGCTGTGACAGTGTTCGAGTCAGCGTCACGTGCGTTGTCACCGGCCGTGACTCGGCGGTGACACGTCACAATAGTCAGCTGAGTGACGTCTGTGGCGTCAGCTGGCCACTGGCCGTCAGCTGAATAGGAGACTGGGGTAGGTCTAGTAGTCAGAGGGTGGAGGATGATTGTTAAGTGCACTGTTGTTAGATGACATTAGATGTTAGATGACATGCTATTTTGAATCTGGATGACAAGTGTTCGATGACAAGTATATAAATGACTCGACAATTCGCATCGCTTCGCAATAATCACCCTACACAAAATCGTCACAATTCAATGTTACCGAAGTTCGCCTCTTATTCCTATGAGTATGTTCCTGCACCCCTTGCCAAGCTCAAAATACACATGCGCTTGATTATAATCAAGCACATAATTATTGACTTTCATACGCACTAGCTTCCCAGCACTTTCATATGGAGCAACTCCTATTCATATGCCGGCTAGGCACACCCAAAACACAGCTGCACTCCCAAAGCCTATTATCAGCTCGAGTCTTAAGCAGCATATTTGATAGATTGGTTGGCATGATGATCGTCCCTCCCCTCCACACGTCATACAAGTAAATATCGTCCATTCTCCGGAACTCGTTCAGCACATACGTACCTTGACTCGCTGCTGTGGCTGTACAGAGAGGTATAGCTGACGACTGCGGCCGGATCCGACCCCCTCGGCCGCTCCCTCGACGGCCACTCGGCGCAGGTGACGCTCCTGTGAGGGCAGAAGAGATGGAAGGGTGTAAGAGGGGCGACGGCCGTCAAGTCAAGTACACATGACAAGGGTGAGAAGGTGGTTTGGATTACTTGATTGATTGTGTAAATGTCCCAAGACAACTACCCACCAACTCTGGGCAGGTTATTGACTAAATGGCGACCACAAATGAAAACACGCGTATAAAGTTTGCAATTTATAGACAGATGGTTAAGAAAAAACTAAGCTTTATTTTACACACAAGTTGTAGCTACAGATTCATGAGCAACCATGCTCGATGCATTCCAACTGGTTTTATTACGCAATGTGACCGAAACAAAGTGTTTTCGTGCATATTTGAACGTGCATGTCACGGGAACTTTGTTGGCACTTCTCGCTCAGGTCAGGTCGGGTCAGCTCTAGGCCCCACACACCAACTCACGTGCAGTTCTGCGTCACTGTCCTCGCCGCTGTCCTGCCATTCATCACTCGCCGCCGCGTCACTCGTCTCCTGAACGCGGCTCAGCTGGGAGGTCATCTGTTCCAGCTGGTCTGACGTCACTGGATCGGAGTCGGCCAGCGCCGAGCTCTCAGAGATGCGCGTTAATTGGTCGAGACGCTCTGACGTAACAGCGTCCATGTCGTCGACGCCGGAGAGACGCGAGAACGGGTCCGTGGAGTCTGGAGGAGGAAAGAACAAACGGTCATATGGCAGCACTGCGTGACGTCACAGCTTCCATATTGGGTACTCAAGGCAGAGGCGTAATACCGGGTCCGTGAAGTCAAGATAGAGATTAGGGATAACGATAGATGAAAAGATAGATAGAGGTACAAAAAGAAGGTCGGCCACATGGCAGGAATGGTTTACGTCAGAGCTTCCACTGTAGAATGTAGATGTCCGGTCCGCCCCATTTTCATAAGAAGTAAAAATTCCCATCAACAAGCTACACCGCAAAGCAGTCTGCAAATGGCTACAATCCTTCCCGCTAGATGGCACTGATAGTTGGTGCCTGAAAGTATGCTGTCCCGCAATGATCACGTCAGCTGTTACGCGGCTTTGTCAATAGATGGCAGCAGCGTCAAGCGCCTGAAATCATGCTGTGCCGCAACGCCCAAGTCATGTTGCGAGGATTCGTCAATAGATGGCAGCAGCATCAAGCGCCTGAAACTATGCTGTTCCGCACTACTCGCGTCAGTTGCATGGTTTCGTCGGTAGATGGCAGCAGTGACAAGCGCCTGGTTCTATGCTGTACACCGCAAGGCTTGTGGGACCACTAACGACCGCTGGAAACGGCGGGGGTGGTGCACATGATTAATTTCTGTCGAAATGCTAACAGCCAAGAGATGCTGATAGTTGTTGATGTTGTAATTATTAGGTACAAATACTGGCGAAGCTAAGAATATGAGATCTATTTTCTAGTTTCATGTTTCAACATTACAATAAACAACTGACCACATCTCGCAACATGTTTCGTTAGGATGGAGATATTTATTATGCAGCTGTCCTCAACTGAGCCAAATTGTAACACGACTTAGTCATAACTTATACATTCCCTCAGTCACACGCTAATGAGTTATGGCGGTGGTTTGATTTACACGACAGTCCTGTAGGACTGTCTGTTTAACCCGCGCACCGACGGGGGTCTGCGCCAACTTCGCACCGACGGGGGGGGGGGGGGGGCGGATGACCGCCCCCCCCCCCCCCTGAGATCTCGAGAACGAAGCAAGATAGCGACAAGCGGTAAACGGCATCGGATACGCACGGCCAAGATCTACAATTTTCACAAAGGTGATTTTCAGGTCAGGTCAAAGATGACGTCACAGGGGTCGAAAAAGTCAAAATGGCGGCGCTAGATATGGAGAGAGTTTTTCTCGAATAACTTTCGAATTAGTCAAGATAGGAACAAACTAAGGGCATCATCGTGATCCTCTCGTCAATCCGCATCGAGTGATATATAGGTTGACCTCGAAAGGTCAAGGTCAAAGGTTGACCTCAGGTCACGTGACCTCGAGGTCATCATGTATATCATTCGATGCGTCTTGACGAGCTGAACACAATGAGACCATCCACGCGTCTGTATCTTGTTCCTGTACGGAGTTATTGGCCAAAAACCTTTGGTGACCTTTGATGACGTCACATGACCTCACAGCTGCCCAACAGCAAAACAGACCTCAAGGTAGTGAAGGTTGATCGTATATGAAGTCATGTATGGTATATGGGGCCATTCCGACCCGTTTTAGTGGTAAAAACAGGGAGTTGATTTTTCCCCCATTGACTTATAATGGGGAGGTCGCGAAATTGACCTGACCTTAGGTCACCGATATCAAAATTCCGAGATATACAAATTGTAGCTACTAATGACCTAATAATATCCGGCGACTTTCAAAGGCCTCCGACATCTACTGTAGCTCTGGCACGGTGACAAAGTTGCAAAAAAGTGACTTGAGGTTGGGTCATTCAAAGTGACCTGGTGACCTGACCTTAAACGGTAGGAGGTTCAAACTTGCACACCATGTGTAAAATTGATGAGGTTATAGTCATACCAAATCCCGCTATTCGCGAAAAATATCAGGGGGGGGGGGCGGATATCCGCCCCCCCCCCCGTCGGTGCGAGGGTTAATTGTTTATTGTTAGAGTACCTAAATAGTTCCACGGTTACACATGGGGAGGGGTAAAGAGAACATGTCAATGCGACCCCCGGGACGGCGATCAATAAACTGTGCCGTCTCCACCAACGATGTCCCATACATGCTTCTTTTTCCACGCCTCCCATCGTGAATATCGTGAGACGCAGCGCCTGGCACAGCGGGTCTGGCGTGGGTGATCATCCCTTTGGCGTGTTACATACCGGAGCTCATCGTTGACAGGCGTGACCTCCGTATCTGACCTTCCTAGCACCTTATCGGACAGGGAACATCAGACTATTGGAGATGTGGAATATTAGTTTCCCTCACAATTTCTTTTGATTCTTTGGCTGTTTTTTTTCTCAAGTTATATTGGTGGATTCGCCGATACCAAACTAACTACCGAATCTTTGACCACCCGTAGGACATTTGCCCTGCGTTCACATGTTTGCTAGAAACAATGCCAATGGCGATAGTACCTAATTGAAGCATACAGAATGCCGATATTCATAGAATCCCAAATGTGCGTCCATATTACCTCACTTGAAGCTCCAATTTGCCCTTGTCTACTACTTCGTAACCCCGCATAGCAACCAGACTCCTCTCCCCGCCCCTCCCCCTCCCCCCACGGTGGCTGGCACGCTTCCATTAGCCCCGCGGAACTGCCTGGTACGGTCCCACTCAAAAACGATCCGCCCGCCACGAATCGCTGCAGCTGTGTTATATTAAAATATACGACCGTGCCCAACTATGACAGAATTTGGGGCCCGTGACCGGCAACGCCAGCCACCATATAGTGGAGTTTTGGTGCTGTTTAGGTAATCTTTTCCGGGAGTTTGGTAAACTTTGACTCTTCCGGCCTGCAAAATGAGCTACATATGCAACTAGTCAGGTAATTTACAGACATGAAGTAGGTACTTCAGGTTTAGAAATGACGAGCCAAAACGAAAGACTTATGATAATGATATGACAAATTGGTGATAGGTACTTGTAACAGAAAGATATCGAAAATAAATCAATGCCTCTAATAAGATAAATCTATCATGAAAAGTCCAAAATCACAGTTCGCAACTATGGACGAACAAAAACATTTCTAGCAAAAATTATAATAATTATAATTTAATAAAATTATAATAAAATATAACAGATACTTTTTTATATAACAGATACTTCAAAGCCGGGGACAGCAGGCGTGTTTCCAACCCCAGTGGACGAGGTACTGCGCTACAAGTGTGTCTGCTGCGCCACATATGTGTAACCGGCGCCATTCCACAGCTGAGGATGCGTCATACGGGACACGTTCCGAACACACCGACACACAAACAGACATACAGACAGGCAGACCGATCCATACAGACACCTTCCACGGAAACAGAGAAGTGCAGGTAGGCAGAAGCCTTCGTACGGATACATACGGGCCAGGCCACATACCTATATCATAGGTATACAGACATGTTCAGGTATGTTCAAAAATGCAAATTCAATTAGGCCAAAATGCAGGCAGGTCATGACAGTAGAGACACAAGTACAGACATACCAACATGCAAGAAAAGACACCGACAAACATGCAGCCACACACAGCCCGAGGCGACGACAGACAGACACGCTACCAATAAGCTGTTTGGGGCGGACCAATCGGGAGGTGATGAGACGGAAAACAACAGACCGCGGCAGCCAATCAAATCGCAGCCGCGTCCCATCTCGGCCAATCATCGATCAGACACGCCTTATTTGCGCCAATCAAACGCCGTCGCCGCCAGTGGTACAGGGACCCGCAGTTGCTTCTGTACACACTAGTATTTCAGCGTATTCTTGGCCTGTGACACCGTTGGAGGTGAATTGGGAAATGATTGTGCGCTTATTAAAACCACCATCTGAAGGGCTTTAAACTGATGTGCTGCTCTCCTAATTCAGTGAACATTTTATGGCTATATCAGCAAAACATTGTTTTCAGCGCTTTTTCCTGCCCCATTCCGTCTGAAACCTGGAACCGCTTATTCAATTCACTCCTGCCATCTGACGATGGTCGTGCTGATTACTAGTTCCGGCGCTAGTTACTGCTCCAGTTTTGCACCCGGCACAAACTCAGGCGGCACCGGGCCGCCGTGGCTCGACCAGTGAGGGTCGGACCGAGCCGACTGCCTGGGGCGCGGTTAGATCGGACGCCCTGCTGGGGAAGGGGACGGGAATGAGGGGGAGGGGAGGAGGTGGTCACGTGGTCCGTCCAAGCTCGCACATGACCTGTCCCGCGCCCAGCCATGTTCCGTGATGCAAAATGGCACTAGAGAACTGTGGAATGCTTAGAGGAGACGCTTCGAAAGCGAACTTCAGCAGCACTAATTTACCATATTCTGAGGAGATAAATAAATATTATCTTAATGCAGAAAAAAATTGTAAGCCTAAGCTGTATAAGCTGTATCTTTTTAAAAGCTGTAAATAGGATTATTTTTAGGGACTTATAGGTTTCGTATACACAGTGAATTGTGTTACATTAAGCCGTTTCGCTCTTATGGTTACTAACTGACTGAGCGCTAACTAACTGACCTTTTTTCTCACAGGGAATGACAATACAATAACAATACGAATAAAACCAGACGTTTCGCACACAAAAGCCTCCGTCAGTGGCAAGAAATAAGTAACTGGCATACATGTTTTCTTTCGACTAAATCGAGGAAGTAGTTATCTTTATTTTTTTAAAGATATATTTTCAGCAGTTTTTTAAGCACACCATGGAAGCTTATAAACATTTTATTTTATCGGCAACCCGGCTGGCCAGACCGAGACGGTGCCGCATATAGTTCTCATCGATGTTAAACCACTATGGTTAAACCTACACTTATTTTTCTCCACTGCACTGACGAAGGCACGTTTTTGTCCGAAACGTTTAGTTTTATTCGCATTGTTTTTATATTGTCATTGTCCGTGAGAAAAACATACTCATATGGACTGGTCTCAGTTCATGTAGAAATTGTTGCACATTCATCAGCACAGATAAAATGAATATTAACCCTCACCACACATATAAGTAGAGGTAAATAGACCGCGCCCCGTTTTTC